TATATATATATATATATATATATGCAAAGAAAATAAGCAACAGCGAGATGACAATTCCAGATTACACCATCACACTGAAAGCCAGATAGTCACACCGTGTCCAGAGAATAGCATTGCACCAATAATACACCAATGGAGGTTCATAGTACTGAAAACCAATGTCACGGAGAGCATACTCTCTGCTCTTCGACACAAGAGTCCAGTCCCTTCACACTCCTACTTGGCGCTCACCGCCCAGCCTACTCCTAGCACAGCTACTACAGCCTACTAATTGACAATGCAACTGTTGACATCAGCAGCAACCCAAAGTACATGAAGATGTCGCCCATGCAGACCATCACCAATACAAGGTAAGTGCCCTCACATCATCATCATCATCATCATCCTTCACCTATCCCCTCACTTTACACCCACGTCTGTCCTCTCTTACACCTGAAGACCACCCCTGCGCCTCACTGTAGTCCAAGCCCACCAGCTATGCTGGCTGGGCTATGGCGCTGCCCTCAGCAGCGCCCTCCTTCCCTGCACGACCGCACGTGCTGCACCTCGCCTCTCAGCGCCAGCCAGCAGCCGCAAGCCTTTGCTCCAGCAGCGCTGCCGCTAGCATGCAAGTGCCTGAATGCCCTGCCAGGGGGAGAGCTCTTTCCTTTATGGAAAGAGCCGGCCTGCTCACGCAGCCTGGCTGGACTGGCCTGGGCCCAGAAGCTTCCGGAAGGCCCCAGGACGCTGCCTGGATGCAGCAGCTACTGGGCTGCTGGGCCTCGTTCAGTTGGGCGCCCAACTGTCTCTGTATGTGGGTGCGAATCACGCCCAGGGCCTGCATTCCTTGGAAAGGCCCGGAAGGCCGTGGAAATGTCTGTGTAGCACGGCCTGAGTTTCTCTCAACCAACTAGCGCGTCGCAACTGCCTGGACCCCAAATATAAAATTGACAGTCGAGGGCCTCAGGTGATATGTTAGGCCCGCCTTCACTTAGGGCGGACAATGCTGCATACAGGGCCCCATAGGGCTGGCGAGGACCCAGATCCTCGCATAAAAAAAAAAAAAAAAAAAAAAAAAAAACACACACGAAGAAGAAGAAAGACCTGTTGGAGTACTGCCCGAGTGCCAACAGAATGAACCCTTGAGATATGAATGCCGGTCTCTCTTCTCGTTTTTTTTTTTAAATGATCTCTTAAGAGTCCATTCTGTTGGCACTTGTGCTGTACTCCTACGGTATATGCCGCTGCATCCCGGGATAGTAAAGCACAGGTGCCAACAGAATGAGCTCTTGAGCGATGAATCATGCTTGACAAGTCGATAGTCCTTCGGAAAGGAAAAAGATGTGTGCATGTAAGGCTTAGCACTCAGCCTGCCAACCCCTTGCAGCTTTTTAAACTTCTCTTTTTTTTTTTTTTTTTTTTTTTTTTTTTCCT